CTCGGATAACATGATAAACATTGACATCAATACTATACATAAATCTGAATCAGTATTCAGACCCCAAAAGTGTTGCCAACCGCCTAACCGTGCAATCAGTTCCCAGTTATTGTTCAAATCAATTAACAAACTAACCAGTCGTTCAATAGTATAGATCGATGTTATAATTATGATAATTACGGGTCGATTAAACCATAGTCTCTTTGGTTGGTATTGTTGTTGTTGTTGTTGTTGAGGACAATCATCGCCGACGGCTGAGACTAATCGATGGTTACTTAAGCCGATTCGGTATAAATGATAGGCCGACCCGTTGTATACTTGATTTTCAGGTAATAACTTATTAGCCGAAAATTGTGACATTTTTTTTGTTGTTACAATTTATATTATTATTATTATTATTATTATTATTATACTTATTTACAAAAATATTTTTTTTAAAAATATAAGTAACTATGAATACAATTATTTTATTAATTTCTAGATTAATAATAAAATAATAATAATGTATTTTGTTAAATTAATTTTACTATTAAAAAAATAATTTATATGTTTGTAATATACAGTATATTGTTTATAAATACTATAATAACATACAACAAAAAAATTAGTTAACAATTTTCAAGTGTACGAAAATATATGAAAATTAATTTTTTTGTTGGGAATATTTTTTTTATTGAAAATATTATAAAATTAACTTTAAATATATATTAAAAATATTTTCTATTTAATAATTTAATGATATTGACAAAAACAAATATATTATATTCAATAAAAAAAATTTTATGCACCTATGGATATATATATATATATTTATTTATTATTATTTTTTACACTAATTTATTAATAAAATATATATTACAATAATAATGATACGGAAAATAATTAGAAATATACTTTAATAATAGTTATTTATTATAATTTAAATAGTTATATATATATATATGTGTGTGTGTGTGTGTGAATATCATTAAATTTATTTCAAAAATAGCTTACATTAATTATATTATATTATTAATTTATAGCAATATTTGATGTTAACAATAATAATAATAATAATTATTATAAAAATAAGTTAATTATATTAAAAATAACAAAATGACTATTAATAATATAAAAATAGTTTTTAATAATAATTAGTAACTATTAATATATATATATATATTAATATAATGTTAAAAATTAAAATTAATAGTTATGTTTACAATAATTTTAGGAAAATAAAATATAATAATTATTTATTTCTAATAGTAGATAATTTATTATTAAATAAATTTATAATTAAATATTAACTAGCTGAGTTATACTATAATAATAAATTGTAATTTTTTTAAAATGTAATTTTGTTGATATTATTTTTATTTTAATTACTTAATATTTTATATAACAATATAATTAGAAAATAATTTTAAAATAATATAAAAAACGTTTACTCGTTATTATATAATATATAATGCAATAAAAATGCAATAAAACTATAAATATATAATCAGTTGATTTTTTAATTAAATATTTTTTAAAAAATATTTATTATAATAATTAGAAACTATTTATTTCTACTAATTATATATTATACTATTAATTATAGATATATTAATTAATTAATAGAAACAGTTTATTTATAAAAAATAATTTTATTAAAAATTAGTTAAATTATATTAATTTTTTTATTAGATATTTTTTTGAACATTTATTTTGTTTATTGCTAATTGATTTAATCATATTTTAAAAAAAATATAAATTATAATATTCATAGATATATATATATATAACTATTTAATAATTCTATATTTGGTTTTAAAAATATTTTTTTATTTATTTTAAAGGAAATATCATACTATATATAAAGTATATTATAATTTTCTAAAAATAAAAATTGTTATTAATTTTTAATATATATATATTATATATAGATATTTTCAAGGACATCTAAACTATAATTAAATAATTAACGATAAGTTTATAATAATAATAATGATTATTATTATAATCTCTATTTAGTTTTAGTAATTAATATTTTATTATAAAATTATTTTTATTTATAAATATATACAGTATTTGTTGAATTAATTGTTGTATAAAAAATAATTAATTAGTTAAATATAGATAATAAAAATAAGTAAAAATTAATGATATATTAAAACTATTTATTGTTTGCTGGAAATTAATGTAAATGTTTTTTTTTTAAACTATAAGTATAAAAATTATTAGTCAAAAAAATTATATATATTATAGTAAAACATTTTATTTTTTAAGTATTATAACTTATATTTAGCTTAAATAAAACTAGTAGTTTATGATATTATTTTAGTAATAATAGCTAAAAGTAAAAAAATAAAATAAATATCAATTAAAAATAATAGCAAATTATAATTTGTTAATAGTTATACAGTTATATTTGATAATAATTATTAATAATTTTTATTTTTACACTTATTGAATTTTTATTTTTGTTTTATTTTTTTTAAGTAAATTATATAATATAAAACTTTTATTATAACATATTATTAATAGCTTATTAATTGATTATTAATATTATTTTTATTATCATAATAAATAATGCCTAATTTTTCGGCAAACAAGTTATTGCCCGAAATTATGGTATACAAGTGGTCGGCCTATCATTTATACCGAATCGGCTTAAGTAACCATCGATTAGTAGCCGATGTCGCCGATGATTGTTGTCCTCAACAACAGAGACTATGGTTTAATCGACCGATAATTATATTAATTGTTTCCATAGTTTATACTATTGAACGTATAATCTGTTTGTTAAGCAATGATTCAAACAATTGGCTAATGTTTGCACTGTTAGGCAATTGGGGTTATTTTTGGGGTCAAAAACAATTTTCCGATATATTTACTATTTTATTGCTAATATTTATATTGTTATCTGAATTAACATATTTTTTCAAACCAATGGTTTAATATCAAACCGACATTTTTACGGGTATTTGAAATGATGTCCGGTTTGCCGGGTCGGACACCCCTTGCGGTTGGTCTAACCGATCGCCAGGACATCCATAAGCTTATCAAACGTATGAAATATTTGTCAATTATTTGCCATAAAAATAACACATATATACTAACAGTTATGGCATTTTTGATTGTTATAATCGGTTACTATAGAAAACTTTCACTAACTTATTGTATAGTATATGGTATACCAAATGCATTGATATTTTCGTTAATATGCTATTATTTTTGTAATTTAATTTTATATCAATTTATCTATTTTTATATATTATGTTTGTATTTAAAACTAAAATTATTGAAAATTTATAAACAATTTAATCAACAAATTAAATCAAATACAAATCGTTGCAAAACATATACAAATTATTCTAAACGTATTATAGATATTATGAAATCTATGGACAAATTGTTTGTCGAAATCAACGATTATAACCGGACTTATTGGTCAAAATTTTTATTATACATTTGGCTATCGTGTGGTACGGCTATGGCCTATGTTTTAAATATTATTATAATTATGTCGTTACCTATTATACCTAAATATCTAATATTATATGGCTATATGTTTACATTGATTGCATTTTTAATCATTATATTAACTTCGGCATCGATTAACTATTGTATTAATCAATCATATAAATTATTAATTAATTATACATTTAAACTATAATATTTATAATTAATATAATATATATATAAATATATATATATATATATATTGTTAATACTATTTATTACAAAAAATAGCTTTCATTTAATTATATTATATTTAATTTATATCATATATTATTTGCATCATTTAATTTATAGCATTATTTAATGTTAACAACAATAATAATAATGTTAATTATATTATAAATAATAAAAATGTTGATTAATATCATAGAATATAACATAATATAATAATAGTTTTTAATAATAATAATTACTAACTATTAATATATATTAATATAATGTTAAAAAATAAAAATTAATAGTTATGTTTACAATAATTTTAGGAAAATAAAATACTAATTATTTATTTCTAATAATAGAAATTTTATTAATAAATAATTTTATAATTAATTAATTTAATAATAGTTAAGTTATATTATAAAATTTTATAAAATAATATAATATTATAGATATATTTATTAATAGCTAAAAAGTTTATTTAGAAAAATAATTTTATTGAAAATTAAATTCATATTATTTTTTTTTATTAGATTTTTCTTGTTTATTGCTAATTGATTTAATCATATTTTTAATAATTTTTAAATAACATTATAATATTCATATAAAATATATATAAATTTATATTTATAACTATTTTAATAACTCTATATTTGGTTTTTAAATATTTTTAGTTTATTTGAAGGAAATATCATACTATATAAAGTAAATTACAATTATCTAAAAATAAAAATTGCTATAAAATTTTTAAATATATATATAAAAAAATTTTGATATACAATACATAAATTAATTACTATTAATCTAGAAATTAACAAAAAACTAAATATTTTTATTAGTTTAAAAATCATTAAAATAATAATAATAATTAAATTATTATAAAATTATTATAAATACACAATGAATTCAATATTATTACAATTAATATTATTTTGTTTATTAATAATTTTAAACACTATTAATTCAATTAATAGTTTATATAATAATAATAATATTAGTAATAATAATAATAATAATTACTATAAAAAACAATTTAATTATAAAACTACATTAACTAATGAATCGTCAATTATATTGTGGTTAAAATCTAATGATAATAATAATAATAATAATAATTCAATTAATAGTTATAATAATCGCAATAATTATTCTAATAATAAAAAGTTTGAAAAATCAATTATTAGTGATAATACTAATACTAATCATAATAAGACTACTAATAATCAATTGAAACCTATTATCGATGACAATATCAACGGTAAAAACTTGTCCAACAATAGTAAAACCATATTTGCCGACAATAGACGACAATGCGGTATTGCCTACCGTAGCCGTATAGTTGGCGGACAGTTAGCTCAGGGTCCGCGCCAGTACCCGTGGATGGCCGCCCTGTTGATGGCCACCAATCGATCGGTACCGTTTTGTGGCGGTTCACTGATCGATGGCCGACACATACTGACGGCTGCCCATTGTCTGAAAACTGTATCGGCCCGGGATATAGTTGTCCGATTGGGTGCCTATGAGTTTAGTAGCGGCGGCAGCGGCAGTGGTAACAGTACTATTGAACGACACGCCCGGGACTATCGGGTCGATCGGCTGATCATTCACGAGGCATACGATGAACATAACGATCGCAACGATCTGGCATTAGTACGGCTACTACTGGCCGACGGCAATAATCGGTCGGTAAAATTTACGTCAACTATACGACCAATTTGTTTGCCCCATAACCACCAACACTACCATCACCTGATAGGTGATGACTATACTAATAAAACTACCGGTGATTATAATATAGACAATAATAATAAAGTAGTAACAGTTGCCGGCTGGGGTCGGACCAGTTTCGAGGGTCAGGTTAGCTCACAGCTCAGGCATGTCCAGCTACCCGTGTGGCCAACCGATCAGTGTGCCCGTGCATTACCCTCATGGATAGACAACCGTCGGGTGCTGTGTACTGGTTATCCAGGGGGTGGCCACGATGCATGTCAGGGTGATTCAGGGGGTCCATTGATGGTCCGCGGCCGCCGCAACTACCGCTACCCGTACCCTGGGCACACTGGCCACTGGACACTGGTAGGTCTGGTATCGTTTGGCTATAAGTGTGCCGAACCTAACAGTCCCGGTGTTAATACCCGAATCCGAGCCTATATGCCGTGGATTATGAAAAATATTAACTAAATTTAATTAATTAATTGATTAATAAATTTTTTTTTGTTTATATTGTTTGTCTATTGTTATTAAATAAACAAAATAAAATTATTAATATTTTTTTTATTTAAAAAATATGGTTTATATTATAGTTAATGTAGTATTGATTATTACTAATTTTTTAGATATTTATTAATTTATATACTGTAAAACAATTGATGATCTTTATTTTCAAAAAAAAAATAAAATTAAATAAACATATTTTCAAAACAATTTATTTATATAACTTTTTTAATACTTTTTATATCATATAATTAATATTATTAATATATATATATTCAATATTAATACCGTATATTAAGTATTATAAACAATAACTAATTAAATTAAATATAAATAAATATTTTAATTAGAATATTACTATAAAAATATATTATTCATATATACTCTATATATGTTATTTTATTTGTTAATTATAGTTATGTATAATAAAAATACATTAATAAAATAATTAATATTTATTATTTTTAATTTTATATGATTATTCATAAAATTTAATGACAATAAGTAAAACATAATTTTAGATATTGAGATAAAAATATATATATATATAGATTTTGTTAATGTTAAAAATTATTATTTTTAATAAATTTTATATAATTGTATATTTAATTAACAAGATAAAAACTAGCAAAAAAACATGTAAATTATATTTTATAGTTTAAAGTTATTAAAACATTTATATTTTATTATAAACATAATTATCATTTAGAAATATATATATATATATAATTTGACATTTAAATTATTCAAATTATATTAAATTAAGTTTATAAATTATTCAAGTTATTAAAACTTTTATATTTTCATAATAAAACATGATTATTATTTATAATATATATATATATATATAAATTAGTATTTGCATAATTATTGCATAATAAACGAATTAAATTTATTATTAATTTATTAATTAATAGATATATATATATATATATAAAACTTTTACAACCTTTACAAACTTATATACATTATTTTGCCGGGATTTAAAGCTCCGGGAGTTTGAAAATCTATAGACAATTACTACTACTACTAACTGTTAATACTAAACGTATGACAACTACTACTACTACTACTACTACTACTACTACTACTAATACTAAACATATTAGAAATATAATCAAATCAATGGATAAATTGTTTGCCGATATTACTGACCTATAATCACACGTATTGGTCAAAATTTTTAACTAAATATTTGGCTAACATTTGGTACAATAATTGTTATCATATTTTTTTTTAGTATATTATTTAGTATCACAATGGATATGATACCGAAAATTATATTATCATATGGGCTTATTGATGTTAATTATTGAATTTTTATTTTATTATATTTACGGCCGCATCGGTTAACTATAGTTTTAGAAAAATTTAATAAATTATTTTATAATTATATTATATAATAATATCACTATTTATATTATTCATATTATTATTATATTAAAGCATATAATTTATCATTATTTTTCTATTATTTAATTTTTTTGATTTATTTTATAACTAACTATTAAAATAAAGTTTTCTGATTTTTTTTTAAATATATATAATTTATAATAATTAGTATTTATTATTGAATGCTAAATAAAAATATTAAATGTATATTACAAACAAACAAAATAGTAATTTAAATTTTTTATAGCAATAGTTTTGAATTATAAACAATAATATATATTAATTATTAATTTATTTTTATAAAGTCTAGACACTAATAAATACATTTATTTTAAATGCAATATTATTATTATATAAATTTATTTATCTATTGATATATATATATACTTTACATTAATTACAGTAAATAATATTTGATATGAAAATCTTACTTTTATTTAATATATATATTACAGTATTAATACTGTATTATATTAATATATAAATAAATTAAATACATTTTATTTAATCTATCTTAAATATTATATATTAAATAAATTAATTATTAATACATAAATAATTTATTGAACTATCGTAAATAAAAAAAATAAAGCTATAAATAATTATTATATATATATTACTGTATATAAATATATAATATTATCTAATGTATTGTTTTATGAAATTAGCTTGATAAAATACATTAATTTAATAATATAAGTTAATAAACTTATTATTATTATAACTATTTGAATATATTATTATATTATGTCTAATAGCATATTACTATAATTAATAAATTACAACAACAAAAAATTAAATATAAAAATTGATTATTATTTATACATGTATATAATTTATATAGTTTTCTAACAAATAATTTAATAAAATGTATTTTTTTTAAATTAATTATAATAAAAAACTTAATCAAAACTTTTAACACAATCACATTATATATATATAAAAAAAAGTTTTAATATATTATATAAATTAATTTAATAAATATACAGTATAATAAATATTAATCTATTGAATAGTATATAAATATATATATATCTATTTATATATTAATTAAAATTTATTATTATATAACATACAGTACTATTATCTAATAGTAAATAAATAAAATAAATTTATGTAAAATAAATAACTTAAATAAAATAAAGTTTAATTAATTAATAAATTAATCTCTAAAAAAATTTTTTTTTAATACTATTAATACTTAATTATTACAACTACTAATACAATCAGTACTAAACAGTTTATATTAATAATAATAATAATAATAATAATTTTATAATAAATTTTATAGCAATTGAAATATTTATTAATTATATTATACAGTATTATACACGTTACTATCGGTATTATATACACAGTGTATATAAATTAACGTTATTTATGGCCACAAATAATATATATATTTCCAAATAACATATGGCATACATATATAACACACATATACTTAATATTATTATTGAAACAATAAAGTGATGAGTATTTTATATAATATATAATATAATATATTATATATTATTTAGTGATTAAAAAAAAAATATACAGTAAATTACAAAACAATTTTTTTTAAGTGTTTAATAATAATAATAATAATTATTATAACTAATAATAACTAAACATAATATTAAAACATTTAAATTTAATTTTTAATAATAATAATGTGATTAATATAATAACAAAAAATTAATTTTTTTTTAATTTAATAATAAACTATTAATACTAATAATGTTTTAATTTTTTTTTGTTTTAATATTAATAAATTACATGTGATTTTATTTTTTATTTTTTTTAATATAAATATTTATTTTTATTTTTGATTAAATAATTAATGATTAATAATATTGAATGCATTTAATAATAATAATAATAATAAAAAATAAATAAAATAATTATTTAAATATAATGTTTTTAAAAAAAATTAATTATTTAATAATTAATTAATGTTTTATTTGTTTGTATCATATGTTTAACTAATAATAATAATAATAATAATAATAAATCAATTGTTATTTTTTGTTAATTAATTAATTGTATAATAATTATAATAATAATAATAATAATAATAATAATAATAATAATAATAATAATAATAATAATAAACATATGTTTTTCAATAGACTTATAATAAAAACAACACAAAAAAAATATTTATTTTTTTTTGTTTATTTGTTGTGATATTTGATATGAAATTATTTATTAATTATTTATTATTTTTTTCGGTGAAAACAATGGTCTGAATAATCGGTAAAAATCGGGTGAAAACCAAAATCAAATCAAATGTCTGTCAAAGTTATCGGTGGCCGACAACAGCTAACAAAGTGTCCGAAAAATCAACAAAAATCCGAGACTACTGTCCGTATCAAAGCCGCCGCCGATACTACTAATCAATCGGCAATTGTTGGCCAAAAATCATTGCCGAAACAAACAAGTGGTGGCCAGAAGTCGTCGTCGATGGTCAACATCGGGTCGACATTCAATATAGACACCAATACTGTCATAATTCCCCATAACTTCTTCGGTAAGACTTTTTTTTTTGGTGTCCATCTGTTTGATAGATCAGCTGTTGATAACCACTTCTTCGTCTTCTTCTTCATGTATTCACAACTCAATAGACTCAAGACATCAATTGTCGCCGACATCGGCCGTCAGGCCATTGATTGTCAAGTTTGGACCGAAGATGATGGACACCATTGGCGATACAAACGGTAGCGAAACTAATGGTACGGCCGTTACGTCGTCGTCAGCGAAGTCGAAGAATAGGATAACGATAATCAAACCGAAGACTATTGACGGCTGCGATGACGAGGAGGAGGAGGACGACGACGACGACAACAATCAGCTAATGTTTACAAAGACGACGACAACAACAACACCGTCGATGATGTTGTCGTTGACCGACAAAGTGTTTAATGAAAGACAATTAAAGACGTCGTTGTCGTCGACTAAGACAATAGCTGTCACCACAACCACTGCTGCTGCTGCTGACAGTGTCAACGATGATAATGACAGTCATAATCATCGACATCGACATCAGCGACAACATCATAGTCGTCATCGTCATCATCATCAGCGCACTACTGGATGTACAACAACAGTCAATACTAGAGGCAATGGCATATCAATGGCACCAAAAGTGCCGATTCATCGGCTTCTGGGTTCGTCTCATACAACAACCGCCGCCACCACCAGTAGTCGTACTGTTAGTAGTAGTAGTAGTAGTAGTAGTCGTAGTAAAACATTGCTAATGAAAAGGCGGAACAAATTGCCAACAAAAGAGTTGTTGTTGTCTTTGTCATCATCGATGTCGTCATCGCCGATGACATCATTGATATCGTCATCAACTACTACTACCACTACTACTGCTACTACTACAGCAACACCAGCCGTGACAAAGCAATTGGTGGTCGCAAATGAAGTTGAAAAGTCTTTGTCGTCGTTGTCATCGCTATACTGGGAGTGCAATCACTGTAAGAGACAGTTTGTATCGAAACAGTCACTCAATGAACACCACAGACTAACACATCATCACCAGAAACAACAACAACAACAACAAGCACTGGACATAATCACTCATAGACAGCATCAGTCCTCCTCCACCACCACCTCCTCCTCATCATCATTGCTGATAACAGACATTACTACCACCGGTGCTGCTGCTGATAGCCAACAACAGTTCCGGTGCCAGTGGCACGACTGTACCCAACAGTTTGAGACAATGGACGCTTTCAGACTGCACGTCGAATCGCATGTCCATCAAGTAGTTCGGGTGGGATCGCCATCAGCCGATGTAGTGGAAACATTGTTGTCCGCGTCGTCCTTATCAGGCGATGATGGCCTCAACGGCGGCGGCGGCAGTGCCAGCGATGACTACGACATCGATGATGATGATGTCGATGACGATAACCACGAAATTATCAATGAAATTGTGATACCAGAGATTCAAATAGACTACAATACTAACGGTGATAATAATGATGATGATGATGACCACCACCACCACCACCAAGTAGTGGCCGACAATAATAATAGTGATAACCATTCATTGGTGACCAACAACAACAACAAAAAGAGCCGACAAATTATACGACATCGTCGTCGGACTACTACTACTACTACTACTGCCGGTAATCATAATAATCTAAAGAGTGATATATTAGATAATAAGTTACTCATCAGTGGTGGGGGTAGTGGTAGTAGTAGTAGTGGTAGTAAATCGTTATTTTCATCGTCGGTAACAACACGGCATTCCTCATCATCATCATCAATGGGAGTACCGCTACTACAGTCGGCACTGGCGGCGGCCGCGGCATCGGCTGCGGTGGTGGCGACAAACCCGCGCAGTTATAGCTGTCCAGTGGAGGGCTGTTGCGCTGCTTATACAAAATCCAGTCATCTGACCGCCCATTTGCGCCGACATACAGGTGCCGTATTGTGTGTTTGATATGTCCACACATACAGTATATACTGTATATTTAACTAATTGATTGATTAATTAATTAATTATTATTATGATTTAATAGGAGAGAAACCGTATGTCTGTAATTGGCCCGACTGTGACTGGAGGTTCTCCAGGTTGGTATCCCACACCCCACCCCCTCTATTTATTAGGCTAACTGTGCAATTTAAACACACACATACACAGTATTTAATGGTTTTAATTAGTATTATCTATAATTAATTAATAGTTTATTTTTTATTTAATTATATTATTTAATGATATAAAAAAAAATTTTTTATTAATTTTTTTGTTGTTGAGTAGAATAATAATTAATTATATATATATATATATAATACTATATATTTATTTTTACCCCCTCCCCTCTCGGTATATCTAATAATTTAATTTAATTTGTTAACTATCCTATTGTTTAATAACAAACAAAATCAAAATTATATTTTTTAAAAAAATGTTTAGTCATTTATAGTTATTACTGATTATTACTAATATTAGTATTATTTTTATTATTATTATTATTATTATTATTATTATTAGTAGTAGTAGTAGTAGTAGTAGTAGTAGTAGTAGTAGTTTATTACCCTATAACCAATTAGGCATAGATTTTTTTTATTAAACGGATCAATGATTAATCAAAAAAAAAATAATAAAATAAATTTTTAAAAAATAAATAAATAAATAATAATTTAATAATAAAATAATAAATTATTTCCACAAGTTTTAACAACAACAATAAAAATACCAACAATTTATATAATTATTATATATATATATATATATATAATAAATATGTTTAGAGAGCAAACAATAATATATTATTATTATTATTATTATTTTTAAAAAAAATTATTACTATTATTACTATTATTATTATTTAATTATTAATTAATTATTTGTTTGTTTGTTTTTTTTTTGTACATCCATTTCCCACCAATCAATCAATTGGTTATCAATCAATAGGTCCGATGAACTGTCCCGACACAAGCGGTCGCATACGGGCGAGAAGACACACGTTTGTCCGTTTTGTTCAAAAGGATTTTCCCGATCCGACCACTTATCCAAACATTTTCGGGTCCACAAACTCGAACTGCCCGACGGTCTCGATGTTAAGCATTTAATTAAAAACTCGCGCAAAACAAAAACACCGACAATAATAACACCGATGACAACGACAACACGTTTTTAAAAAAAAAAAATTATGTTTTGTTAAACAAATCAATCAACAAAAAAATACATAATTTTTAAAACTATAATTGATCTGAAATTTATTTATATATATATATATACTGTATATACAGTATATATATAAGTTATGATAAGCACAACAACAATGATAATATTATTTTACACTTAATCATTACAAAATACTGGTACCTGATTTTTGATTGTTATCTCAAAATACATTATATATATATATATATATATATATATTGTATAAATATTGTATAATCTATTTGTTATGTTTAACACATTGTTTTTTTTATGTGTATGTGTGTGCGTTATATATTATTATTATTAATATACTGTATATATATATACAAATATATATATATATACAGTATATATACACTATTGTATTATATATATATATATATATATATACAGTACTTGTATGTTATTGATATTATATATATAATTATGATAATAATTGTTATATAATTAAAATGAGATATCTATTGTTTTTTTTTATAATTATATTATAAAATTGAAAATTTGATTACAATTTTGTTTTTATTTTATTGAAACAAAATATAAAAAAATCAAATTTCATTTTATAATTAAATAATAATATCTGCTTTTAATCTCTATCTCTCTTAATCTCATATAACTAGTGATAATTTTTTTTATTATATAATATAATTTTGTTTATTTATAAAAATCATATTAAGTTTTTTAATTATATAATTATAATATATATTTTTGTATTATTATTATTATTATTATTCAATTACCGGTAATTAGTTTTTTACTATATATTTTGTTTATCCAAATAAATGTTTTTTTTTATTTTCTAAATTATTATTATTATATTTACTGTAAAATATAATTCATAATTATATATAAATAATAATTATTATTAAAAGTAATGTTTTTTTTTCAAAAAAAAAAATTAAATAAAATTTCTATCAAATATTTTATATATGTGTGTATGTGTATGTGTATGTGTATGTGTATGTGTATGTGTATGTGTATGTGTATGTGTATGTGTATGTGTATGTGTATGTGTATGTGTGTGTGTATGTGTATGTAATTAGATAACTAGAAAAATAAATTGTTATAATTACGGGTCGATTAAACCATAGTCTCTGAGGACAATAATCATCGGCGACATCGGCTACTAATTGATGGCTACTTAAAGCCGATTCGGGATATAAATGATAGGCCGACCACTTGTAGGCAATATTTGCCGGCAATAACTTATTTTTACCGATATTTCTGACATTATATTATATATATATATTTTAATATTATTTTTGTTAAAAATTAAATATTAAAGTTATACACTATTTAATATACCAGTACTACAATTATTATAGAAAACATATTTAATTATTTATAAAACTAATTATTTTTATTAAAAAAATTATACAATATATATATATATTTATATGTATATATATAATTAGCAATTAACATTTCTATTATTACTTAGCAATAATATCTAAATAATAATTAATTTAAAATTATTTATAATATAATTGATAATTTCATATTATATTAATTATGTTTTTTTATCGATAATAATTTTTTTAATTGTTTATACTATACTTTTTTTTAATTACCAAATACTTAAAATAACAATAATATTAGTTAATTATATTGATATATATATATATATATATATATTAAAATAAAAACTATTGCTTTAAATTATTTAACTTCATTGTATATTATATTTAGTATTAATTAATTTTTATATAAAAATTTTTAGTCAAAAAAATCAATAATTATAATATTTATTTGTGAATTATATATCTTATATAATTCAATAATTATTTATTTTAGCAAATATTATAATTATTTATATTATTCTACACTTAAATTTGTTTTATAATTATAAATTATATACAATAGATAATTAAAATATTAATTGTTTTTTTGAGTAAAATTTAAATAAAACACTAAATTTTAAAGTTAGTATTTTTTTAATCAATAATATTATTTTCAGGAAGTACATTTATTAAAAGCAAACTAATAAAAAATAATAATAATAATTAGCAATAAAATAAATTTCAAATATATTTTTGTTGAAAAAAAAATTATATATTAAGTAAAAAAAACAACACATAAAAAGTCATATCATTTATAATAAAAATAATTATATTAAAAATAATATATATATATATATATACTGTATATATGATAATATAAAAATAAAATGCTTAATAAATTATCTATAATTTTAGATTAAATTATATAAATAATAGAAGAAAAATATATAAATTTTTATATTTAAATATAACGATAATTGTTTAAATTTTCTATTAAATTAACTGTAAGTGTAATAAATATTATATTATATTATTATTATTTTATTATATATTACGAAAATTTTATTAATTAAGTTATTATATATATATTTTTGCAATTTATCATTAATTTCTATAAAAAATGTATTAATGTATTAATAATGTATTAGCTATAGTTATATATCAAGTAAAAGTAGTTATGATATATTATTAGTTTAAATAATGAATATTTTTTATAATTAAAATTATTAATATAATGTCAATAAAAAAAATTATTATCTAATAATTTAGTGCCAAAAAAATTAAATATATAATTTATTTTTATTATATATATTAAATAAAACCATTAAATAAAAATTTTTTTTACCTTTACTTTAAGTCTAACTTAATGATCACACATTTAACCTAAACTGTTTAAATGGCTAATAACCTACAGTATAATAAACTATAATAATAATTATTATCTAAATTTAGCTAAAAAATTATAATTATAATAACCTATAAATTAAGCTAACAATTTGAAATTTTTTACATTCAAGTTTCAAACACTAGTAGTAGTAGTAATAGTAATAATAATAATAAATAACTTAAAAACAACAATTTAACCAAAAAGTTTATTTAAAAAAAAAAAATGTCTGAATTTACAGCTAAAAAACTATTGCCACCAAATCAGGTATACGACGGGTCGGCCTATCATTTATACCGAATCGGCTTAAGTAGCCATCGATTGGTCGTAGCCGTCGGCGCCGCCGATGATGATAATTGTTGGGGTAGTCCTCAACAACCGCAACCGCAACAACCAACGAGACTATGGTTTAATCGACCGGTTATTATAATCCTGGTTTCGGTTGTCTTTCTAATTGAACGACTGGTTAGTCTATTGCTAATCAATGATAATGATTGGCAAATGTTTGCACTGTTAGGCAATTGGGGCTATTTTTGGGACTTATCTAAAATGACTGATATATTTACATCGTTTATGTCGATGTTTATATTGCTGTCGGAGTTAACCTATTTTGTAAACTATCGGTCGTGTATTGAACCGACATTTCTACGTGTATTTCAAATGATGTCCGGTTATCGGTGGACACCCCTTGATATGGGTCTAACCGATCACCGGGAGATCCTGAAGCTAATCAAATGGATGCGATTGTTATCTATGTATTGCTATTTGAATAATACATATATAGTTACACTAATAGCTATATTATTGGTTATGATTGGCTATACATCTAAACTATCCCTAAATTATTGCCTAATCAATGGTATACCCAATGCCATACTGTTTGCATTAATACATATGTATTATTGTAATCTAATGTTATATCAATTATTATATATCTATATATTATGTCGGTATTTAAAACTAAAAAATCTAGCAATTTATCATAGATTACATAAACTATTAGTTATTGATAAACAATCTATAGTTAGTAATGTTAATACAAAATCAATTGAATTAATTATGAAATTAATGGACAAATTGTTTGCTGAAATATCAGATTATAATCATACTTATTGGTCAAAATTTTTCCTATATATTTGGCTAACATATGGTGCAGCCATTGTCTATATATTATATATTATTATATTTGTTAAGACATCAATTATAGCTAAAGTAGTATTTATTTATGGATTTTTATATTCAATAATTGCATTCCTGTATATAATATTAACGGTTGCATCGGTTAACTATACTGTAGATAAATCTTATAAATTATTGAATAATTTTTATGTCAAATATTTTGTCAGATATTATGTATAATAATAATAATTATTATTAATATTATTATTATTATTTAAATATAAATATTGTTTGATAAAAATGATGCATTTTTTGAAAAAATACTAATTTATAAAATATTAATTAAATATTAGATATAAATATTTTTTTTTTTTGTATAAATATTATTTGTATGAAAGTTTGTCATAATAATAAATATTTTTTTTGTGTGTATAAATTATAAATTAAATTCATTTATTTATTTTAAACATTTAATTATTATAAAATTAAATTTTATTAATTGTATAAATAAAATATATAATATATATATATATTTATATATATATTAATATAGTTTAATAAATAAATATTTTGTTTCCTTGTTTGTGTGTATTTCTATTTAAATTATTTAATTTAAATAAAAAAGTTTTTAATATTAAATATTTATATATATATATATATAACATAAATTACTTTTACTTGTTATATAATATCAATTACTGCATTAATATTATATATTGTATTATTATTATTATTATTATTGATATTAATGATTGATAATACTGTATAAAAATAACTTAAATGTTTAATAATAAAAATTTCATAATATATAATAATAATAATAATAATAAAATATAATATTTATTACATTTACAGTATTCAATCAATATTATTTTTGCAATTACAGTTTGCTAATTGTTTTTATCAATAGCTAATATATCAAATGTATAATTAATTAAAAAATTATATACAGTATAATTTTTATAATTTACAGGATATATACATTTTTTTTTATTTGTTTATAAAACAATAAATTGATTAATTGATTAAATAATATATATATATATAATAAATAAAAATATAAAATTTAGTATCTAATAACTAAATAAAATTTAATTATTAATTATAATAATAGATCAACAATTAATAAAAGTGTTATATATTTTATTATAATTTATATATTTATATATATATATATATAAACTTTGTATAAAATACACAATCAATAAATTATTTTTTTTATTTAGTTATTGAAAAATATTCAACAACAACAACAACAAAACTATAAT